AATCAAAATAGATTTCTATTCCAGAAATCAATTTCTGGAGCAGAATTAGTCATGTTTTATCAAACATATTTCTCCTCCAAAAATCAATTTCTGGCAAGAATTCTGGAAATCAATTTCTGGCAAGAATTTGATTTCTGGAGCAGAATGGTTACCATTCGCGCCCTTAGCTGTGGATGGAGGAGGAAGAGAAAGAAAAAATATCAAATTTTGTTTTTTTAATTAATTTCATATCAGCTGCTGACATGATATTGTGGTCACATGTTCACTTGCGAGTGGATGTGAGTGCAAAAATACATCCATATAAACTGCTGATATGATAGTATGTAACCACTGAATATTTTTTCCACTCTTGAATTAACTGAATGGTAATATTGAACATTTTCACGTATTCTTGATTAGATTAAATATTTACTAATAATTCATAAATCACATTTAACAAATTAAAAGTTCATGGACAACATTGTATATTCGACCAAAGTTCAATAACCATTTGTGTCATTTTCCCAAAACTTTATAACATTTTGAAGAAATTTCACTGAACTCTCGAAATTTTAAGTTGAACCGTGTTTTTTTTTTAATCGAAAAAATGAACCATGTTGGCTCTTGAACTTTTGACCGTTACACAAAATCAACCTCGGTCTTAAAAGATCTCCATAGATAGCCCCGAGAACCAATGCAAAAGTGAACAATTTCTTTATTATAATATGCAAAACGATAAATAATTTTAGATTAAAAACGCTAATTATAATCAAAGAAAAACTAAAAAAGAAGCAAAAATCCTTTTACTGTTATTAATGTTTGTGCTGATATTTTTAGTATTTTAGTTGATTTATTATTTCCTTATAATTTAGTTTCCTCTCAATTTTCTGTATTGGTTTTCATTTTTTACGGTAATTAAGGGTAAAAGAAAGATTTCCTACACAAAATGATATGAAAATATACTTTCACCACTTGAAAATCACTTGCATTGCTCATATTGACGTGGTTTTAACTCCCAAAATACAATTAACTAGTATCACAACTGATAATGATCCTTCCAAATAAGATGACTTATCCTTTTTTAAGGGATAATCGCAACAGAAGTCCATACCACAAAATTACATTTGAAATCCTAAAAATTTTAAAAAGTGCAATAAAGTCCTACAACTTATCAAATTAGTGATTTCAAATCTATCTATTAAATTTGTTCACTTTGATTAACGGAATTGTTTTTTAATTTTTCGAAAGGAGAGGGGCTGTATCAACCACGTCAGCCATTTTAGAAAAAAAAATTAAAAGAAGTTATAAAGAAAAACAGAAAGGAGGCGCGCGCAGCCATGGCTAAAAGGAAAATTGAAAGGAGGCGCACGTCGAATAAAAAGGTGCTCGCAGCCATGGCTGCTCCAGCTTCATACAGATTGACTATGGCCCCCGACAAGACTTGTTAAAATGGTTAGTGGGCCTATTTCTTAATTTATATTTGATGGGCTGGGTTGTTAAACGAGCTAATTATATTCTGGAAATGGGTCTTGAATGGGTTGAGAATGATGAAGCTCAAAATGTTATGGGTGTTAAATAGGCTCACAACTTTCTTAGACTCAACCCACCTCTATGACTCGCTCTTCACTCTCTCCAGCCCTCATTCGATATCGCGCTCACTCAATCTGTGCTCTTACCTGAATTTGCGCAGGAGTTTTTTTAGATTTTGTTAAATATAGAAATGTTTTAGAAATGTGGATTGGGTCGGATATGAGTTACTAGATTTATATTACGTGAAAATTAATCAAAAATGGGTTAAATGAGTCAATTTAAATCGGATCATTTTCAATCTATGCTCTCGGCAACTTGTTTGCAGCTGACGAATAAAAAAAGAGAATGTATTACCAAAAAAATAAATAAATAGAGAATGAACGAAGAAGATGAACACTAAATTTGGTTTCCCTTACCCACCAAAGATTGCAACAACAAATAATGAGCTCTATTTAACGTAAAGAGAAGATGAACTTTTGAAAAGAATTAGTTTTATTTAACGTTCCGAAGAACATGAACAGTGATTATTTCGTGAAGGTCTAACTATTGAATAATCATTATTAATGATTCAAATTGATTTAGTCGATGAAGTGAAGAAGACACATAGTAAAACTCCTTCGTTTTTTATGAACTAATTGTTTTTTCTTCTTTTTATAGTTTTTTTGTCCTTTTTTCTTTATTATAATTTTTTTTCCGAAGTGGTGCTTGATGGACGTCACATTAGTGTCATGTATTTTAAGAAATTAGTAAAAAAGTCGCGTCAATATTTTTTGTTAGAGCAATTTAATTATGCTAATTTTTCATATTTTAAAATTTGATCGCACTTTCCAAATATTTTGAAATTTAATTGTACTTTCAATAAATTTTAGGATTACTAATGCAATTTTTTTTTCCTGTGATATCACTTACCTCACCTCAACGTATTTGACATAAGAACATCCATTGCTGCGTTTTCGTACACGCCAAACTTCCTCGGGCATTGCAATTTGTGACAGACGATGGCTTGAAGACGTGAGAAAGACGAAAGAGGAAGACCAAAGAGCGGACGCATCGTCACTTTCATCTCTGCTTTACCTTTCTACCTTTTTTATTATTAATATTTTTCTTTGAAAACCAAAGTAAATGTTGTTCTTACAAGATCCTCTCTACTAAAGATTGGAATCATTATGCTCGTTTGGGAAATTAGAGAAAGCGGAGAAATGAAAATTTGGAGAAATTTTGAAATCTCACATTCTCTTGATCTCGCAAAGCTTCCAATTTTTTCCCTTATTTTTCATTCAAATTTTCATTCTCACAGCATCAACCGCTCACACCTCCCATCTCCGGCTGCGTCATGCCATCGCTCGCATCGCTCGCACGATCGAATAGTACAATTTAGTTGCACGCTATAAGAGCTTTTCTAGTGGCACACAATTTGCCAAATTAGATGACCAAATATCTAGATATTGCGGCTTTTAACCAGTTCGATATAAATGAAGTCAGACAAACTAATTTTTTTTACTACCAAAAACCTCAAATTGGTACATCTGTAACAAATATGCCCCAAACTAATTTTTTTGACTACCAAAAACCTCAAATCGGTGCATTTGTGATAAATTTATCCTTTGTTAGTTTTCGTTAAATTGGATTAATGTCACGAAAAACCATAAATTAGTACACCTGTGATAAACGGAGGGTAAAATCCCAAATCGGTACGCCTGTCATCTGTCACATGTCATCTAACTTAACAATTTGATAGTAAAATTTAACGGAAAATAATTTAAGGTAAATTTGTCACAAGTGTACCAGTTTGGAGTTTTGGTGGTCGAAAAATTCGTTTAGGTTAAATTTGTCACAAAAGTACCAGTTTGAAATTTTTTGTGGCATTAAACATAATATTAATGTCCCAAAAAGGCACAAATTAATTGTACCTCCCCAATCAGAAGGCGTGGTTGAAGAACTTCCTTCAACTAGAAATGAAAGAAAACATTAGAAGTGAGCATGGTTCAAAAGCAAAATCTAGAACCAGATAACTGGATTGGTGAGAATCTGTCAGGTTCTAAGTTTCAAGGTATGCAGGGTAAGTTTTAGGTTTCAAAATTTGAGAAACCTATTTAGATGGAACCTGGAACCTAGAACAAGTTTTTATGTTTTTCTTAGTCTATGTCTTCACGTGATCATGTGGTATTCTATGGCGTCTGATGATGAATGTATAATTTGGAGCCACTGGCTTGAGCTTGCATTTTATGACTAAGACTTTTACTTTGTTGATATTTCATATTCTTCGTGTGTCTAAATATAAGTTGTAGTCAATAGATTGTAGCAACAAGTGGTGATCAAATCGTTCAATTGATAATACACGTCGAACCTAGGTAGATCCCGAAATCTATGACAAGATAAGGGTAATGAGGAACTGGTTCTAACAGGTAAGTTCCAGATTCCAGGTGAAACTTATATGGAACTTAAAATCACTCACCTCTAGAATACATGACCCCGTGACGACACACAAGGCATTCTTTGGGGCCTACTTTTGTTCTTCAAACTGTGGATGACATGAGCAAAAGATCATTTCAGTACTGCTCCATAAAGTCATACCACCCTCTTCCACAACCAATTCTTCCCTCGTTTTTCTTCTAACCCATCAGGAAAACATGTTCAGCAACGTTCTGGTTCCAGTAGATTTACATTCTCCGATTGCAATTCCCAGGAAAAAAAAGTAAGATTTATGCGAGCGAGTCAAAAGTGAGCTCTTCATTGATTAATCACACCATAGATGAAAGGAGGCATGAACTAGTGTTGGCTAATCAAGTTTCTCGAGTTCCTCTCGGCACCGTAAACAGCCCAACGTGTGACACTACCGAAAATGGAGACTCTGTACACGACGTTTTTTGCCAGATCATTTCATGGCAATTTGTTATTAAACTTGTTTTTTCCCGCGATTAATGCTATTAAGCTCGTCAGATAACTCTGATTAGTTTTGACTTAAAATATTCAATTAAGCTAGAAATGGACTTATCTAATACGTAAAAGGGAGGCTGCTTAATTCATTCCATGGAAAAACTAATTGATGGTAATTAGAAGCTTTTCACATATATGGTTAGTACCTATCAATTATGGTCGCGATTCTATGTTTGAAGAGAAACTATAGATATTTAGCGATTGCCAAATTTATTTTTTCTATTTTAACGCTTGAGATTGTTAACACTCAAATATAAGTTCTAGCCAAACTTTTTTTTTCTATTTTGACACTTGAGATTGTTAACACATCAAAATAAGTTCTTAATTTGGTCGGATAGGCCTAAATGCACATAATCGTCGCATCTATATGGATCGAATAAGGCTCCTCCGATAGAGTGGTGGCCTGGTCTACAATTTGATATTACTTTGAATTGGGAACATGATCCGATCAGGAATCCGACACGTACAATCACACACTTACCCATGCAACTTTCTCAATTTTTTTCATTTAGCCATAAAACAATATAAATATACTGTTAAAAGGCGAGGAATGCAAAAGGTTAACGCATGGACTCTTTGGTCAAACACAAGAGGTTAAGAAAGTACATATGAACCCTTGAGGTCAGCTGAGCAACCAGAAACCTTAAAGAAGCGCCAAGTTTGAGGGATTCTTCCCAAAATATGGAACTATAGAACCCAAACTACCACCAAAAAACAAGAAAACATGAACACAAAAGGAGTCGCCTTTTCATCGATTCACCATTGCTGGATGTAGGAGGTACAATTAGGCGTCCTGGATTTATATCGATGCTGCGAACAGCATTATCTGAAGATGGAGACTTTAAACACATTATCTTCCCTATCAATGAGCTCAAATGCGCAGGCATTTCCAACACACAAATGAGTTTCTCTTGCAAATGCAGTCCAACCAGCGGAGAACGACGCTAGCTTTCTATTCTTATATCTTAAGAACTCCACCGGCCACGATCTGTCTGAATACCTTAGAGTTGCCATTCGCTTGTTTTCTTGAATATGTTGCCTGATGAATCGATCGGGAACACTCTGCAAATGCATACATTTTTGAACAACCAATCTATGCTGAAAGGACAATGATGTAAGCATACACTCATGGAAAAAAAGCACCCAAGGCCATATTTGCGAGTTTCAGGAGCTTTAATCGACCGTCTTAAGAGGCTCATTAAAGCCGTCGATCTTAACCCACAATGTAATGCATTTTCAAACAAATGACTGCCCATTAATTGCCATTTTAGGTCGTAGTCGATTCAAGTGACTGTCCATCCTTTCACTTGGATAGGGATGGAGCAGCTTGTCAAGGATATCCAAGTAAATGGATAATCCTGACCTAATTACCATCTTTTACTTGTGTTTTTCCTACTCTTTTTCCTAATTCCGTGTTACTCCACCATTGGGATGCGACACGATCACTCGAAGAACAATATCATGTCATATGGTTTCCAATAGAAACCAAATCAACCAGGGAAAACACAATATTGAGGCAAGATTCAAATAGCAATCGTAATCGAAATTGAGATGTGGCAATGATGGACTAGGCTCAAAGATTGTACCAGCGTTTTCCAATGACACTGCCGTATCACCAGTTTGAAGAAAGGATGTTCCGAATCAAATTCTCCAGCTAATTCAGGAGTAGCAAGAGGCCTCGGAGGAGTAGGATCACGAGATACCGGCTCAAGATGGTTCACTCTGCATTTAGACCGTTTGTACCTGCCTGGAGTTAAAATGGGAAATTTAAGAGACATTATTGGAGGGAACGTTTCTTTAATTGACTATGAAGATATTTAGCATAGAACTCATGTCATGCCATAATTAGCCTAAGGTTTCACTTCACACAACGTAGATCAAGTACCTAACTGCACTACTGAAAATGTAGACTCTGAACACAACATCATCCCTATCAATTAGTTCGAACACGCAGACATTTCCTACATGCAAGCGAGTTCCTCTCACAAATGCATCCCAGCCAGTATTTCACTATGAGAACAATGCACAAAAATAAACGACACCAGAGTTAATCGCAGTTTTAGATTCAAATTTCACGAAATAAAAGTAGTATAAATGATTTGAAGATGCTGTTGTGGTTTGAACGTGTGTAGATGCATCTGCGTCTACAGATTCAAGCAGCTTTTCCTCAAAAAATATTTCACAACTTCGTTGGAGCATTTTCACATATAGTTGAATAGCATTTCAATGGAGAAGCTCAACTACAACGAGTCTCGCCACAATCGGGATGTCAAATCTTGAATTTTCCAACTTTAACCATCGGAAAAATTCAGGTATCAACAACAATTAAAATCAATTCTTAAATTCTCAGCATAGTGCACAAAAATAGGTACATTCATGTAGATCAAATAAGGCTTCGATAGAGTGGTGGGGCATGGCCTCCAAGTCAAAATAACTTTGAGTTGGAGACATAATTCGATCAGAAATCTGCAAAGTACAATCAAGCACTTAGCCATACAACTTTCTCACGAATATTTTTCATTTAGCCATAAAAGTAAACGCATGGACTGCTTTCTTTGTATTTTCACTTTCTTGCAAAAGGTTTGGTTAAACACAAAATGCTACTACGTTAAGAAAATACATATTAAACCCTTTAGGACAGTTGAGCAACCAGAAACCTTAAAGAAGGGCCAAATCTGAGGGATTCTTGCCAAAATGGAAATATAGAACTAGAACTAGCACCAAGAAACAAGAAAACATGAACAGAAAAGAGTCTCCTTTGCATCGATTCGCCACAGCTGAATAAAGGAGGCATAATTAGGATCTTGAATTCATATCGACGCCTCGAACAGTCTAGACTAACACGTCAGATGAACACCTCAATCAATGTGAATCCGATCCTTACCACCACTACTGAAGATGGAGACTTGGAACACAACATCATCCCTATCAATGAGCTCAAACACGCAGGCATTTCCTACACGCATATGAGTTTCTCTTGCAAATGCAGGCCAACCAGCAGAAAAGAACACTCGGGTTTCCTTCGTATATCTTGAGAGATTCACCAGCCACGATCTGTCTGAATACCTAAGAGTTCCCTTTCTCTTGTTTTTTTTAATATGTTGCTCGGCGAATTGACCGGGAACATGCTGCACATGAGTAGACATTTGAACAACCAATGTATGCCGAGAGAAGGACAAAAATGTAAGCATGCGCTCTTGGAAAGAAAGCATACAAGGCCAGCTTTAGTCAACAGTCTTAAGAGGCTCGTGAAAGCCATCGATCTCAACCTGCATTGTAAAGCATTTTCAAACAAATTACTGCCATTAATTGCCATTTTAGGTTAGTACTCAATTCAAGTGACTGTCCATCCTTTCACTCAGATAGTGATGGAGCAGCTTGTCAAGGATATCCAAGTGAATGGATAGTCCCAACCTAATTACAGTCTTTGCTGCTGTTTTTTCTTCTTTTTTTCCTGATTACGCGTTACTCCACCATTGGGATGCCCCACAATCACTCCAGGAAATATAGCATGTCATATGGTTCCCAATACAAACCAAATCAACCAAGGAAAACACAATATTGAGGCAAGATTAGATAGAGATCATAATCGAACTTGAGATATGGCATTGATGGATTAGGCTCACGATTGTACCAATTTTCTAAAATGACACTGACGTATCACCAGTTTGAAGAAGGGATGCTCCGAATCAAATTTGCTGACTAATTCAGGAGTAGTGAGAGGCCTCGAAGTAGTGGGATCACAAAACACTGGCTCCAAATGGTTCATTCTGCATTTAGACTGTTTGTTCCTGCCTGGAATTAAAATGAGAACTTTAAGAGACATTATTGGTGCGAATGTTTCTTTGATTGACTATGAAGATCTTTAGCATAGAAGTCATGTCATGCCATGACCAGCCTAAAGTTTCACTTCAAATAACGTAAATCAAGATTCTACCTGCACTGCTGAAAATGTAGACTCTGAACACAATATCATCTCTATCGATTAGCTCGAACACGCAGACATTTCCTGCACGCAAGCCAGTTCCTCTCACAAATGCAATCCAACCAGAAGAGAACTGCATCAACCCACTTGGATAGCTCCTAAGCTTCACAGGCCATGTTCTATTTGAATGCCTGAGAGTCACGATTTCCTTGATTTCCTGAATGTGCTGCGTTATGAACCCACGAGGAACATTCTGCCCACACACAATTTTGAACAACCGGTGATTCATAAAGAAAGACTGGGGAAGCATTCCGTTATTCACGAAAGCAAGCAAAATGTAGATTGACACAGTAGTTTTAGTAACTCTCATCAACAGTCTTAACAGGACAAAAGTCAAGATGTCAAAGTCTCTGCTCTTAGAATTGGCATGAGGGGTAGACGATGTTTTCCTTTTTAAACAAATAGGAATGAACAGATCCAAGGAAAACGCTATGTAGTTTCCTACAGAAATCCTACCGGCTTAGGAAAAAAGTCAAAATAGTAGTGAATTAAACTCTCAATCTTACCACTACATGATGTCCATTATAAGATGGCCGGATCATCACCTTGAAAAAAGGATACTCTGAGTCAACTTTGCTGGCCAATTCAAAACTACGGAGAGGCCACGAACTCATAGGACCACCAAAATTCGGCTCAGGATGGCTAGCTCTGCATCTAGACCGTCCGATCCCTTCTGTTCTTTAAACAAAATGAAATGTTTATATGACGCCAGTTTGAAGTTTTCAGTATTTGATTTACTTACCATGAAAAAATTTAGTGCAGAATGGAAGTTAAAATACTGTCATGGAAATCAAGATTTAGAAAAGTTGACCAAACGAAAAATTCGCTTCCTTCACCTTAGAAGCTGTAACTACTTAACCACAATAAGCATTACCGAAACCATTATGCTATCAGTCAACATTAACAAGCTTATCAAAAAGTTCTCAAGTACTTGAAAAAGATCTAACAAAGGAGAGAGCGAAGTAAGAAGAAACTTGACTTATAAAATGACAAGCCACACCTTCGAGATCTTTTGATGAGCAGCTTGGACTCGGCTGAGAACATGGTGAATGTGGTTTGACCCTCATTTTTTGACGAGGAGCAAAATCCTCTGAATCTTCAACTTCTACAATATCCTCCCTCTTCGGCAAGATAAATCCACTCCTGAGGTTTGATATGCTGCTCAATGAATAATTGATCTCTGAAGCACTCTTATCGAATATTATCACGCGAAAAGCAGAGTTCCCTTTATATTTGAAAACTACGAGGTGACCGTGACCAACGGAGTAATGCTGCATAAATTCTCGCCACCCTTTCCACAACCAAACCATGCCATTGTTACCCTTTTCTACTCCTATAGTCCAGGTCAAACTGCCTGGAACCTTGAGTAGCACCAAGCTTGAGAGATCCATCCCATATCTTCCTAAGAATTTTTTCGGAATTCCCTATTAAGAAAAACCCAAAAGTTTTAGGTCCAGGACTCGAATTCATCAAAATTAGATCGAAAGAACAGGGAAAAAAGGAAGAGCAATGAGAAAATTTTAAATTCTGCTACATGGCGATGAAAGATCGGTTTGCACACAAGCAGGGTGTGTCACCGGACAAGTAAGGATCGAGTATTAGTTATAGTTGCTTCATTTGACGAGAGTAAAGCTAGAGAGACCCAACACCTTTGTCCACACAATCCTTAGCCAACCAATCCTCAATCCCAGGTAAAAGAACTGATTTTTATCTAGAATAATTCAAGCTAAACACTTTTTTTCTTCAGGGTTCTCGTTGTTTCTTTCTTTTCCCAAGAATCAAAAGGTTTATTCAAAGCTAAACGCGTAGAAAGATCTCCAGATTGAATAGACACAGCACAAGGGCGACAGCTCTAAAACATGACTGAAACTCTCGCGACACCGGAGCTGCATCATATGATTCAGACAGTGAAAATGCGGAACTTACGAGCTTCCCAGATTCGAGGGTGTCGGAGAGAATGATCTTGAAGAAGTGAGGACTCTCAAGACGAGGCCCAGTCGCCATATCTGGGTCGACACCTCCATCTTCTCTCCGGCGACGGCGACCGCAAGCCATGTACGGTAGTGTCACAGGGTCACTGGAGGCGGAGGAGGAGGAGGTGGAGGCGGTGGAGGCGGCGGTTCGTGCGAACTTTCCTTTGTGTTCTTGAGACAATTATCTTATAAAAGAACCTTACCATCACTAATAATGTCATTGATGATTTGATACAACTTCATAATATTTATGTCCTAAAAAGGCACAAATTTCTGTACTACGAACAAAAAAGTCCAAACATCATTACATATGAAAGAGCCACATGAATTTATATTTTAACAAGATACAGTTATCGTTACTCAATTTCCACGAGCCGGAAATTCTCTAATCGATTTTTGAAAATTGGTAAGTTATAAACGTGAATATCACGCGTTTATTTTCAAGTAAATTGACATACGAAAATTTTTCATATTTGTAACCCCCAATCAGAAGGAGTGATTGAAGGACTTCCTCCAGTTAGAAATGAAGGAAAACGTGACCCTGAGACGACAGGACAAGGCATTCTTCGGGGCCTACTTTTGTTCTCCAAGCTATAGATGACATGAGCAAAAGATCATTTCAGTAGTGCTCCATAAAGTCATAAGTGTTCCCCTGTTTCTCTTTTAACCCATAAGTGAATATGTTCAGAAATGTTCTGGTTCAAGTAGATCATTTCGTGACATTTTGTTGGTAAACTTTTTTCCCGCGATTAAGGCTATTAAGCTCGTCAGATAACTCTAACTAGTTTTGATTCAAAAGATTCAATTAAGCTAAAAATTGACTTATCTAACACGTAAAAAAGAGGCTACTTAATTCATTTCATAAAAAAAAAAATTTATGATAATTAGAATCTTTTCAACTAGAGGGTGAGTACACATCAATTAGGGCCACGATTCAATATTTGGAGAGAAGCTATAGATGTTTAGCAATTGCCAAACTTTTTCTTTCTATTTAACACTTGAGATTGTCAACACTTAAAAATAAGCTCTTAAGTTTTGGGCACCAACTTCTCAATCCTGTCGGATAGGCCTAAATGCACATAATCGGCACATCCATGTGGATCGACTAAGGCTCCTCCGATAGAGTGATGGCGTGGCCTACAATTTGAGATTGCTTTGAATTGGAAACATGATCTGATCAGGAATCCGTCACGTACAATCACGCACTTACTCATGCAACTTTCTCAATTTTTTTTTTCATTTCGCCATAAAACAATATAAATATACTGTTAAAAGGCGAGGAATGCAAAAAGTTAACGAATGGACTCTTTGGTCAAACACAAGAGGTTAAGAACGTACATATGAACCCTTGAGGTCAGTTGAGTAACCAGAAACCCCTTAAAGAAGCGCCAAGTCTGAGGGATTCTTCCCAAAATATGGAACTATAGAACCCAAACTACCACCAAAAAGCAAGAAAACACGAACAAAAAAGGAGTCTCCTTTTCATCGATTCGCCATTGCTGGATGAAGGAGGTATAATTAGGCGTCCTGGATTTATATCGATGTTGCGAACAGCATTATCTGAAGATGGAGACTTTGAACACATTATCTTCCCTATCAATGAGCTCAAACGCGCAGACATTTCCCACACACAAATGAGATTCTCTTGCAAATGCAATCCAACCAGCAGAGAACAATGCTCCCTTTCCATTCTTACATCTTAAGAACTTCACCGGCCACAATCTGTCTGAATACCTAAGAGTTGCCGTTCCCTTGTTTTCTTGAATATGTTGCCTGATGAATCGATCAGGAACACTCTGCAAATGCGTACATGTTTGAACAACCAATCTATGCTGAAAGAAGGACAATGATGTAAGCATACACTCTTGGAAAAAAAGCATCCAGGACCATATTTGCGAGTTTCAGGAGCTTTAATCGACCGTCTTAAGAGGATCATTAAAGCCGTCGATCTTAACCCACAATGTAATGCATTTTCAAACAAATGACTGCCCATTAATTGCCATTTTAGGTTATAGTCGATTCAAGTGACTGTCCATCCTTTCAATTGGATAGGGATGGAGCAGCTTGTCAAGGATATCCAAGTGAATGGATAGTCCCGACCTGATTACCATCTTTTACTTCTGTTTTTCCTGCTCTTTTTCCCGATTGGATGCGACACGATCACTCGAAGAAAAATATCATGTCATATGGTTTCCTATAGAAACCAAATCAACCAGGGAAAACACAATGTTGAGGCAAGATTCAGACAGCAATCGTAATCGAACTTGAGATGTGGCAATGATGGATTAGGCTCAAAGATTGTACCAGTATTCTCAAATGACCCTGCCGTATCACCAGTTTGAAGAAAGGATGCTCCGAATCAAATTGTCTGGCCAATTCAGGAGTAGCGAGAGGCCTCCAAGAAGTAGGATCACGAAATACCGGCTCAAGATGGTTCACTCTGCATTCAGACCGTTTGTACCTGCCTGGAGTTAAAATGAGAAATTTAAGAGATATTATTGGAGTGAACGTTTCTTCAATTGACTATGAAGATCTTTAGCAACTCATGTCATGTCATAATTAGCCTAAGGTTTCACTTCACACAATGTAGATCAAGTACCTACCTGCACTACTGAAAATGTAGACTCTGAACACAACGTCATCCCTATCAATTAGCTCGAACACACAGACATTTCCTACATGCAAGCGAGTTCCTCTCACAAATGCTAACCAACCAGAAGAGAACGCTGCCCCCTGGACTGAATGAGGATAGCTCCTAAGCTTCACTGGCCACGATCTGTCTGAATGCCTAAGAGTCGCGATTTCCTTGATTTCCAGAATGTGCCGCATGATGAACCTACGAGGAACATACTGCCCCCACGCACATGTTTGAACAACACATGCTTGTTAAAGAAAGAACCCAGCAAGCAAAATGTAAATTGATACAGTAGTTTTAATACCTCTAATCAACAGTCTTAACAGGACAAAAGTCAAAAAGTCAAAGTCTCTGCTCATAGAACTATATGAGGGGTCGAGGATCTTTGCCCTTTTAAACAAATAGCGATGAACATATCCAAGGAATATGCTATGTAGTTTCCTACAGAAATCCAATCAGCTTAGGAAAAAAGCCAGAATAGTAATGATTTAAGCTCTTGATCTTACCACTTCATTCTTAATATAAGATGACCGCATCACCACCTTGAAAAAAGGATACTCTGAGTCAAATTCGCTAGCCAATTCAAAACTAGAGAGAGGCCACGGACTCAAAGAACCACCAAAAACCGGCTTAGAATGGCTAGCTCTGCTTCTAGACTGTCCACCCCTGTCTGTTCTTTAAAAAAAATGAAATATTTAGGTTACACCAATTTGAACTTTTCATTAGTTGATTTACTTACCATGAACATATTTAGTGCAGAATGGAAGAAAATACCGTCATGGAAATCAAGATTTAGATAAGTTGACCAAACGAAAAATTCGCTTCTCTTCACCTCAGAAGTTGTAACTACTTAACCACAATAAGAATGATTGAAAATCATTCTATTATCAGTCAACATAAACAAGCTTATCAAAAAGTTCTCAAGCGCATGAAAAAGAACCAACAAAGGAGAGAGCGCTATAAGAAGAAACATGACTCATAAAATGACAAGTCACACCTTCGAGATCTTGTGATGAGCAGCTTGGACTCGGCTGAGAACATGGTGAATGTGGTTCGACCCTCATTTTTTGATGAGGAGCGAAATCCTCCAAATCTTCAACTTCTATGACATCTTCCCTCTTCAGCGAGATAAATCCATTCCCGAGGTTCAATATGCTGCTCGACCAATAATCAATCTCCGAAGCACTCTTATCGAATATTATCACGCGAAAAGCAGAGTTCCCTTTATATTTGAAAACTACGAGGTGACCATCACCAATGTAGTAATGCTGCATAAATTCTCGCCACCCTTTCCACAACCAAAACGTGCCGTTGTCACGCTTTTCTATTCCTATAGTCCAAGTCGAACTGCCCGGAACCTTGAGTAGCACTGTGCTCGAGAGATCCTTTCCATATCTTCCTAAGAATTCTTTCGGTATTCCCTATCAAGAAAAACCCAAAAGTCATAGGTCCAGACTCGAATTCATCAATGTTAGATCGACAGTGCAGGGAAAAACGAAGAGCAATGAGCAAATTTTAAGTTCTGCAACATGGCGATCAAAAATCGGTTTGCACACAAGCAGTGTGTCACCGGGCAAGTAAGGATTGAGTTTTAGTTATAGTTGCTTCATCTGACGAGAGTAAAGCTAGAGAGACCCAACACCATTGTCCACGCCATCCTTAGCCAACAAATCCTCAATCCCAAGTAAAAGAACTGATTTTTATCTAGAATAATTCAAGCTAAACACTTTTGCCTTCAGGGTTTTCGTTTTTCCTTTCTTTCCGCAAGAATCAAAATGTTTATACAAAGCCAAAAGCGATGTGCACAGCACGAGGGCGACAGCTCTAAACCATGACAGAAACTCTCGGGACACTGGAGCTGCATCATATGAAAACAGACTGTGAAAATGCGGAACTTACGAGCTTCCCAGATTCGAGGGTGTCGGAGAGAATGATCTTGAAGAAGTGAGGACTCTCAAGAGGAGGTCCAGTCGCCATATCGGGGTCGACACCTCCACCTTCTCTCGGGCGACGGCCACCGCAAGCAATGTACGGTAGCGTCACAGGGGTCAGCAGCGAACGAGAAGGAGGAGGTGGTGGTTCGTAAGATTTGCCTCTGTACTTACTTGAGGCAACCTTCTTATAAAAGAACCTTACCAGGATCAATATTGTTATTGATGACATACGACAAAGGCACGATTTCGGTACTACAAACAAAAAAGTCCAAACATCAATACATATCAAAGAGGCATATGAAATCATATTTTAACCGGATATAGCCATCATTACTCTATTTCCATGAACCGTATAAGATATGGATATCGTGCATATTTATTTCCAAGTAAATTGACGTGTGAGTAAGTTTCATATTTGCCACTCTCCAATCAAAAGGCGGGGTTCGAGGACTTCCTTCAGCTAGAAACTGAGGAAAACACGACCCCGAGATGACGGGCATGGCGCTTTGTTCTTCAAATTATAGATGAGATGAGCAAGATCATTTCAGAAATGCTCCATAGAGTCATAGCATCCTCTTTCACTAATTTGGTGCATATGATGCTGTTTGACCAACCAACACCGTGCCAAAAACTTGAAACGCTAACAAGACTAACGTCCAAATATGAGAACAAACTCACTCCCCAACAACGAGCTTCAAAGCATAAAATCACTCGCACAAGCTGCCTTCCCTCCTTTTCTTTCTTCTTCCCCTGTTTCTCTTCTAACCCATCGGTAAACAAGTTCAGCAACGTTCTGGTTTAAGTAGATTTACATTCTCTGATTGCAGTTACCAAGAAACAAAGAGAATTTACGCGCGAGCAAAAGTGAGCTCTTCATTGATTAATCACGTTATAGATAAATTAGGCATGAAATAGTGTCGGCAAATTAGTTTCTCGAGTTCCTCTCGGCACCGTAAACAGCCCTACTGGTGACACTTCCGGGGTTCATCTCAATCGATGCAAATCACTTCTTTATTTACGCTACTGAAAATGGAGACTCTGAACACGATATTGTCCCTATCGATGAGCTCGAACACACAGGCATCTCCTCCACGCAAGCAAGCTTCTCTTGCGAACGCGGACCAACCAGCTGTCAAGCATGCAATGTGGAAGCGCCTATAGCCCTGGAACTTCACCTCCCATGATCTGCCGGAAGTAACAAGAGTCACCATTCGCCAGTCTTCCCTAATGTATGTCTTTATGAACTTCCACGGAATGTTCTGCTCACATAGTAGTTTGATGACCAACCAATGTGTGATAGAAAACGAGCATAATATAAGCATGAAATTCATGAGCGAAGCATAGAAGAAAGCTCTGGCTTACCAATTTTCTGTTCATATGATTTGGCAATATCAATACATGGAAAAACGGATACTCCGATTCAAATTTGCTAGCTTTTTCATGAGCAGTGACAGGACTTGGACACGGAGAACCGTGAAAAGCTGGCTCCAAAGAACTCTCTCGGCATTGAGATTGTTCAATTTCAATCCGTCCTGCACCACAAAGAGGAGAGTTCTCATGAGCACCGGTATGAAATTTTCACAAACGGACAATGAAAGGAACATGGATCGCAAATTAATATGCATGGGAGTTTTCATGCTCTTCCCAGAAGATATACAGGTTTCGCACCTCCCAAATCATTATCTCATCAATCAACAAACAAACAGCTTTAAAAGGTTTGCTAGGATTTGAATACAGATTTATAAAGAATGGAAATAATGTCAGCAGAAACATAACTTATAAAGAAACAAGTGACTGACACCACAAATTCAGATTTGAATATGGTGCCATCAGCGACAGTGACTATGCATTTGAATTACCATGAACTTCGCAAACCAAACAGAAAAATTCATCATCTTGGAAGGCTCATAATTAAGGAAGAAAAAACAGAAAACAAAAGCGCACTTTTTATGGATTCAGCAGTACTGAACTGAACAAAAGAGTCGCAATTAGGAATACCGAATTCCTAGGTGATATAGACAGCTCAAAGCGATGCTCTTAGTGTTCATCTCAGTCAACATAAATCAGTCCTTACCATAACTGCTGAAAATGGAGACTCTGAACACGATGTCATCCCTATCAATTAGCTCGAACACGCAGACATCTCTTACACGAAGACCAGTTTCGCTTGCAAATGAGGACCAACCGGTAGAGAGAAATGCCGTTCCTCTGTGATCGTAGCTCCTCAGTTTCACTTGCCACGATCTGTCTGAGTAACCAAGAGTCGCAACTTGCTTGTTCTTTTGAACATGTTTCCTGAAGAATTCACTAGGAATGTTCTGCCCAGTAGTTGTTTAACAACCAATATATGATTAAGAAAGGTGATAGAATAAGGATACACTCATGAGAGAAACATGCAAGAGACGTGGATTTATGATAGAATATGCTAGTTTTAGGAGTTCTAATCAACCGGTTTTGCTTGCCAATGGAAGTTACCAATCATAACCACTTACCTGCAATTTCACATCTAAATGTCAAAATATATGCTCCTGGACATAACTGAAGCCATCAATTTTGAGACATGTATGGATACGATTCATATTTGAATTTGACTCATACGATGAACACTTCAAGGAGAATAACAAGTCATGTGGTTTCCCACACAAACTAAATCAACTTGGTAAACAACTAGAATATAAGACAAAATACAAACTGTGATCACATTTGAATTCGATGTATGCCACTGACGAATAGAACTCGGGATCTTACCAAATATTTCCGAACATAAGAAGGCCGCATCACCACTTTGAAAAAGGGATGGTCCGATTCAAATCCCCTAGCTTTTTCATAAGCAGAAACCTGGCTCAGACACGGAGAAAAGTGAAAAGCAGGCTTGGAAGAGCTCTCTCGGCATTGAGTCTGTTCAATTTCGATCCAACCTGCACTACAAAAAGGAGAGTTCTCATAAGCACCAGTACGAACCTTTCACGAATTTACAATGGAAGGATTTAACGTGGATCGCAAATCAATATGCAGGATCATTTTCATGCTCTTCCCAGAAGATATAACCAGGTAGATTTCACACCTCTCAAATCATTATCTCATCAACCAACAAAGAGACAGCTTCTTGAATAGTTCTTTTAAGATTTGAAAACAGAATAAAAATAGAAAGAATGTCAGCAGAAACACAACTAATAAAACAACAAGTGACTGAACCTCCAAATTAAATTTGAATATGGCACTATCAACGACAGCGACTATGCATTTGAATTACTAAGAACTTCACAAGACATACAAAAATATTCATTATCTTTGAAGGCTCATAACTAAAAAGAAAAAACAGAAAAAAAGTGCACTTTTTATAGATTCAGCGGTACTGAACTGAACAAAGGAGTTGTAATTAGGAGTTGTAATCAGGTCCTTACCATCACTAGTGAAAATGGAGACTCTGAACACAATGTCCTCCCTATCAATGAGCTCGAACACGCAGACATCTCTTACAGAAAGACCAGTTTCTCTCACGAATGAGGACCAACCAGCAGAAAGAAATGCCATTCCTCTGCGTTCATAGCTCCTCAGCTTCACTTGCCACGATCTGTCTGAGTTCCTAAGAGTCGCAACTTGCTTGTTCTTTCGAACATGTTTCCTGAAGAATTCACAAGGAATGCCCTGCCCAGTAGGTGTTTGAACAACCAATATATGATTAAGAAAGGTGATAGAAATAAGGATACACTCACGAGAGAAACACGCTTGAGATGTGGAATTATGATAAAATTCGCTAGTTTCAGGAGTTTTAGTCAGACGTTTTTACTTGCCAATGGAAGTTACCAATCATCACCACTAAACCTGCAATTTTGCATCTAAATGTCAAAATATATGCTCCTGGACATAACTGAAGCCATCAATTTTGAGATAAGTATAGATACGATTCATATTTGAATTGGATTCATACCATGAACACTTCAAGAAGAATAACAAGTAATGGGGTTCCCCACACAAACTAAATCACTTGGTAAACACAAGAATATAAGACAAAATACAAATTATGATCACATTTGAATTCGATGTATGCCACCGACAAATAGAGCTTGGGATCTTACCATATATTTCCGAACATAAGAAGGCTGCATCACCACTTTGAAAAAGGGATGGTCCGATTCAAATCCGCTAGCTTTTTCATAAGCAGTGAAAGGGCTCAGACATTGAGAACCATGAAAAGCTGGCTCCGAAAAGCTCTCTTGGCATTGAGAGTGTTCAATTTCAATCAGACCTGCACCACAAAGAGGAGAATTCTCATAAGCACCAATATAAACTTTTCACAAATTCACAATGGAAAGATTTAACAAGGATCGCATATCAGTATGCATGATCGTTTTCATCATCTTCCCGGAAGATGTAACCAAGTAGATTTCACAACTCCCAAATCATTATCTCATAAATCAACAAAGAGACAGCTTCTTCAAAGATTTTTTAGGATTTTAAACAGATTAAGAATAGAAAGAATGTCAGCAGAAACATAACTTATAAAGCAACAAGTGACTGACACATCCAAATTTAGATTTGATGTGGCGCCATCAGCGACAGCACTGTGCAGTTAATTACTGTGAACTTCACAAACCATACGGAAAAGTTCATCATCTCGGAAGGCTCATAACTAAGGAAGAAAAAAAAGACAAAAGTGCACTTTTTATGGATTCAGCAATATTAAAGTGAACAACGGAGTTGAAATTAGGAATACTGAATTTCTAGGTGATTTAGACAGCTCAAAGTGACACTTCTAGTGTCTATCTCAATCAATATAAATCAGGCCCTTACCATCGCTGTTGAAGATGGAGACTCTGAACACAATGTCATCCCTATCAATGAGCTCGAACACGCAGACATCTCTTACACAAAGACCAGTTGCTCTCACGAATAAGGACCAACCGTTAGAGAGAAATGCCATTCCTCTGTGTTCAAAGCTCCTCAGCTTCACTTGCCACGATCTGTCTGAGTACCTAAGAGTCGCAACTTGCTTGTTCTTTTGAACATGCTTCCTGAAGAATGCACAAGGAACACCCTGCCAAATAGGTGCTTGAACAATCAAAATATGATCAAGGTGATAGAATAAGGATACGCTCATGAGAGAAACATGCACCAGATGTGGATTTATGATGAAAATTTCTAGTTTCAGGAATTTTAATCGACCGTTTTTACTTTTCAATGGAAGTTATCAATCACAACCACTTAACCTGCACTTTGGCATCTAAATGTCAAAATATATGCTCCTGGAAAAAAACCGAGGCCATCAATTTTGCGACTAGATATATATATGATTCATATTTGAATTTGACTCATACCGTGAACACTTCAAGGAGAATAACATGTCATGTGGTTTCCTACACAAACTAAATCAACATGGTAAACACTAGAACATAAGACAAAATACAAACAGCGATCAAGTTTGAACTCGATGTATGCCACCGATGAATAGAGCTCGGGATCTTACCAAATAATTCCGAACATAAGTAGGTCGCATCACCACTTTGAAAAATGGATGGTCCGATTCGAATTTGCTGGCTAATTCAAGAGCAGTGAGAGAACTTGGACCTGTAGAACCACGTAAAACCAGCTCAAGATGACTTACTCTGCATCCAAACCGTTTGATTTCGTCTGCACTTAAAAATGAGAACTGCACTAGATTTTATCAATATACTGATTATGACATTTGCATAGATTGAAAAGTAGTGTAATCTATTTTCAAAGTTAAAATAACTTGATGCGGTAAATTTGTCATCACCTTCATCTTAGAAGTAACTAAACTAACTACATTGTCCGCATACTTTATCAATCAACACATAAGAAAGCTTACTAAAAAACTTTGAAGTTATTTGAAAAGAACTGAGGAAAGAGAGTTATGCCAAGAAGGTACATGCTGGAGAACTACAAGTCAAACCTCCAAATTCTCGTGCTGAGCCGTTTGAACTTGGCCAAGAACGAGGCACGAGCCCCTCTGAATCTTCAATTTCCACGACATTTTCCTCTTTTCGAGAGAGGAACTCGCCCTCGGGGCTCGCTACGTAACTTCCCATGCTCGAAGGATAATCAATCTCCGAAGCGCTCTTATCGAATATTATCACACGAAAAATGGAGCCCCCTTCATATTTGAAGACAATGAGGTGACCATGACCAATCGAATAATGCTCCATGAAGTTTCGCCACCCTTTCCACAACCAAACCACGTCACTGTCACCCTTCTCTAGTTTCACAGGCCAGGTTGAACCACCTGCAACCTTGAGAAGCACCAGACCTGAGAGATCTTTTCCATGTCTTCTCAAGAAGCTTTTTGGGATTCCCTGCGATGAAATCTTATGGTAAATCCGTTGCACTTACACGAAGCTAAATTCAAGACACCAAAAGAAAAGCAGGGCGGAAACAATGACAGACGTGCTTGATGAACCAAGCATAACGAAAGAGACACACGAGGGTGGACGCAAGATCGAAAATGTCACGAAGATAACTGATGGATATGGAGGGAACTGTGAAGGGTGGACGAACTTACAAGCTTTCCAGATTCAAGGGTGTGCGAGAGTATGACCTTGAAGAAATGAGGACGGCTTGGTGGGCTGGCGGGTGTTACCTCCTGCTCGGCACCTTCGTCTTCTCTCCGGCGGCGATGGCCACGACGATGGCGATGACGACGACGACGAGCCATGATCAATCTCCGGTGACCGTGACCGTCTGACTACCGAAGAACAAGAAGACGAAGAAGGAGAAGAAGAACAGGGAAGAAGAGTTGGCGCGTCGAATGGAAGCGTGCGCTTTCGTCTTCTAATTGTTTCAGACGTACCGTCAGTTTTACACGTGACTTCTCCTGCTTCGGTGTCCTTCCCATCTTTTTTTTTTTATTTTTTTGTTAGGTGTATCTTTCCAATCTTGTCAAGGGATTACATTTATCTCTTTTTAAGATTTTGTGACCAAGTTTACTAAAAAGACCTATGACTTTAAGCAAAATTACAAAAGCGGTTCACGAACTTTTGCTCTATGTGTAACGTGTTTCTCAACTTTCAATTAGTAATTATTTAATATAATCCTCCCGTTAACGTTATTTGACGACGTAGGTTATTATACGCCGAGTTGAATTTTAAAAAATTATCAGTCCACATGTCCACCTTTATATCCATCTACTTTATAAAAGGAAAAAAACATTTCGGCATATTATCATCATTATTTGATAACATGGATTATTGTATCATGATTTAAAATGAATATCTTACTTGGATAGCTCGAGGGTACTTTTTTTTTTGTTTGTCGTTCAAACTTAGCATACTGAAAGCCACTTCTTCTTCTTTTTTATTTGTTCTATTTCTAATTCTCCTCACTTTCTGATTTTTACTTTGCTCCTTGCAAAGCATGGGAGTCGAATCCCGCACACGTGATACTAGCATCCGCACCCCCTCAAATCTCTTTACCAGTAGGGCCGCATGTCTATTGGCTATTGGAAGCTACTTCAACGAGAAATATTTTCTTTACTCTCTAATTAGAAATTAACATGCGTACACTTGTGTGAAAATTAAATTAAAAAAATAAAATTTTATTTGGAGAGATATTCGGCTAAGGGAAGCTTGCATCGTTGCCCGGAAAGTTAGCTCCTTTGCTCGTTGGCGTCGATCGTCCAAGCCAAATCACCCCATCCTCTCCATCGTCACTCGCGACCATGGAGGAGCCACCGTTGCTAGCTCCAGATATGGAAGTTTGCAAGCTAGATGTGGAGTAGCAACTCAACATTTGGACCGGCAGTGTCACCGGCGAGCCATGGGCGAGGCCGGATCTGGACGGGGCAACAAGTAGGACGACCGTGAGTGACGACGGAAGGGGTGGCTTGGCTTGGACGCGCAGGACTACTTGGCGCTCATAACTCTGCCGGTGACCGACGGTGGTGGAAGTGCTCCACCAATGGCGACTATGGGGAATCACGGAAGTTGGCACAGACGACTCAGGATGGAGGAGGAAGAAGAGAGAGAAAAAAAGTCAATTTTTTTTTAATTAATTTCATATCGGCTGCTGACATGGTATTGTGGTTGCATGTTCACTTGCGAGTGGATGTGAGTGAAAAAATACATCCATATAAACTGCCGATATGATAATACGTAGCCACCGAATATTTTTTCCACTCTTGAATTAACTGAATGATAGAATTGAACATTTTTATGTTTACATTAAATATTTACTAATAATTCATAAATCACGTTGAACAAATTAAAAGTTCATGGATAATATTGCACGTTCGATCAAAGTTCAAAAATTATTTGTGTCATTTTCCCAAAACTTTATATAACATTTCGAAGAAATTACACCGCACTCTCGAAATTTTAAGTTGAACCGTGTTTTTTTTTTAATCGAAAAGATGAACCATGTCATGTTGGCTCTTAAACTTTTGACCGTTACACAAAATCAACCTCGGTCTTAAAAGATCTCCATAGATAGCCGCGAGAACCAACGCAAAAGTGAATAATTTCTTTATTATAATATGCAAAACGATAAATAATTTTAGATTAAAACGGCTAATTATAATCAAAGAAAAACTAAAAAAGAAGCAAAAATCCTTTTACTGTTATTAATGTTTGTGCCGATATTTGTAGTAGTTTAGTTGATTTATTATTTCCTTATAATTTAGTTTCCTCTCAATTTTCTGTATTGATTTTCATTTTTTACGGTAATTAAGGGTAAAAGAACGATTTCCTACACAAAATGATATGAAAATATACTTTCACCACTTGAAAATCACATGCATTGCTCATATTGACGTGTTTTTAACTCTCGAAATACAATTAACTAGTATCACAACTGATAATGATCCTTCCAAATAAGATGACTTATCCTTTTTTAAGGGATAATCGCAACAGAAGTCCACACTACAAAATTACATTTGAAATCCTAAAACTTTTAAAAAGTGCAATAAAGTCTCACAACTTATCAAATTAGTGATTTCAAATCTATCTGTTAAATTTGTTCACTTTGATTAACGGAATTGTTTTTTAATTTTTCGAAAGGAGAGGGGCTGTATCAACCACATCAGCCATTTTAGAAAAAAAATTAAAAGAAGTTATAAAGAAAAACATAAAGGAGGCGAGCGTGGCCATGGCGAAAAGGAAAACTGAAAGGAGGCGCACGTCAAATAAAAAGGTGCTCGCGGCCATGGCTGCTCCAGCTTCATAGAGCTTGACTATGGCCCCCGACTAGATCTGTTAAAATGGTTCATGGGCTTATTTCTTAACCCATATTTAATAAGTTGGGTTGTTAAACGAGCTAATTATATTTTGGAAATGGATCATGAATGGGTTGAGAATGAAGCTCAACATATTATAGGTATTAAATGGGTTTACAACTTTCTTAGACCCAACCCACCTCTATGACTCTCTTTTCACTTTCTCTAGCCCTCATTTGATCTTGCGATCACTCAATCCATGCTCTTACCTGAATTTGCTCACGGGTTTTTTTAGATTTTGTTAAATATAGGAATGTTTTTTAAATATGAGTTGGGTCGGGTATGAGTCACTAGATTTATATTACGTGAAAATTAATCAAAAATGAATTAAATGAGTCAATTTGGATCGGATCATTTTCGACCCGATCTGACCTGACTCATTGGTTTGACGGTTCAACTCCCCACCATGGCTGCTTGAGTTTCGTCAAGCTCAACTGTGGCCACTCCGACTTCTAAGCTTATAGTCCCTCCAGCTAGGGGTGTCAAAACCAAACACGATACCCGAATCGAAACACGAACCAACTCGACCCGAACACGAAATTTTCTTATTAGGTCGGATTAGATCTTAATTTGTTTGGGTAACAATAAAAAGAATTTGGTATTATTTGGATCTATTGGGCTTGGGTACCCAAGCCCAACCCAAACAATAACCAAAACCCTCGATCACTTCAAATGCACTTCGTCCACCTCGACCGCCTCCTCCTCGCCCCCGACTCCCCCGTCCCCCGCGCCTCCGGCCTCCGCCCCCTCCCCGACTGCCACCCCTTCCTCGGCTCCCCCGAGCCCCTCGTCGTCCGCCTCTCCCCCTCCCGCCGCGACTTTGTCATCCAGCTCGCCTCCTCCGATTCCGACCTCTCCGCAGACCCCATCGCCGCCCTACCGCGAGAACGCACGCCATCTCCACCGCACTCAGAAGAGAATCGCAAAAACTCAAAAAGGCCTACCGAGTCAAAAGCCGGAGGAAGCGAGCGACCGGCGAGGACCAAATCCAACACTCAAAACCTACAGGCGACGCGAGCGAGCGGCGGACACCGCCGTCGCCGGCGGACGCGCGGCCCCCTACGCGTGCGGACACATACAGAAGCATACGTACAGATCATGGAGAGCGAGAGAAACCACGCGCGAGATAGAGAGAGAGAGAGACGGGGAGAGGGGAGGGAGGGGGGAGGAAGGGAAGCGAACCATCGCCGTCCTTGTCGAACAAGCTGAAGGCCTCCTTGAACTCGGAGATCTGGTCGTCGGTGAGCTGATCCGCCATCTCAAAACCTTCCTCCCTCCCTCCTCCTCCTCCTTCCAAAATGCGAACAGCGAACGGAGATTGCGAAACAGAGGAGAGAGAAAGAGAGCGCTAGAGAGAGAGAGAGAGGGTGGGAAGAGCTTTCGTGAATCTTACGAAGAAGACGAGGCTGAAGGCGACGCCTGCGGCGGCGGTGGTGGCGGGCTCGTCGACGACGCGGAGTCCTCCTGCTGCGGCAGCAACGATGCTGGGACGACGGGCGCAGAAGGCGGCGATGCCGCGGCGGCGGTTGAATCGCTTATGTTGGGGCGGTGATGCACGGGGTGCTGCAGGGAAGATGATGAATTCGGGATCCGCAACAATGGCCTCTCTCTCTCTATCTCTATCTCTGAATTCATTGTTTGAAACACAAAACCCACCCCGACCCGCCCCGCATGACCCGGCCCGATCGTGTAGCTTTATCTTGTTCGGGTCTTGTCTCGGGTCGGGTCGAACACATATGTCCAATATTTGGGTCGGGTCGGGTATCATGAAAACCCGACCCTACCCGACCCATTGACACCCCTACCTCCAGCTTCCAAACTTCTTCAAGCTCATGGATATGGTTGCCTCCAAATCCCATGTCTCTCCTCTTCGTCGCAACCATGGTAAGCCTTTCTCTTCCATTCGTCTATATATGTTTGCATGGAGTCGATGCTCTCGGCAACTTGTTTGCAGCTGATGAATAAAAAAAGAGAATGCATTACCAAAAAAATAATAAATAGAGAATGAACGAAGAAGATGAACACTAAGGGTGTGTTTGTTTAAAGAAAAGTGTTTTCGAGAATCCGTTTTTCGGGTTTTCACCCGTTTGGTTCGCTGAAATTGATAAGTCAACCGAAAACACTTTCCGGTCAAAGAGAACGTTCTTGTATAAAATTAAGGCTGCGTTTGTTTCCGGAAAAATATTTTTCCGGAAAATATTTTCCGCGTTTTCCGGTGTTCGGGGGCGGAAAATGTTTTCCGTGGGAAAACATTTTCCTTCCCCACCCCCAAATCCTTCATTGTTTTGAGGAAAATGATTTCCTCTTTTCACAAAGAGGAAATCATTTTCCCCCAAAGTGAAGGCAAAATTTCCCATGGGAGGGAAAATGTTTTCCGTGGGAGAGGAAGTGGATCACCGGTCACCGCCACCGGCCGCCGCCGCCGACCGCCGCCGGTCGCCGGCCGCCCGGTCGCCGCCAGCCGGGATCGGCGGTCGCCGAACACCAGAAAATATTTTCC